CTGCAGCTCCATGGCTTACAATTGGACTATAATGCTTGACTTTGTAAGCCTATTTCTTTATCTTTCTACTTTTGTGCAGTGCTGAACATTTTTAAACTTATTCCTTTATTTTTCTATTTCTGTGCCAAAGATTTTGTACTGAAGATGGTGCCGGAAAGGCGCTTTTCACTCAACTCTGTACTTGAGTGCTCATGACGATCCTAAACCTAAAGCAAATCAAATCATATACATTTAGAATCTTTGTCGCTGAAACGTGTGTGTAGAGTATTCTGAGATATCTCTTTTTTAATTCAAGTATATACTCGATTCGTTAAAGTAATCTATAATTACATTCAATGGTTCTAAAGTAATCTATAATTACATTCAATGGTTCTAAAGTAATCTATAATTACATTCAATGGTTCTAAATCATAGCTGTATATGAGAGAAAAAGTGTTGAAATTTTGTCTCCCAGCTTCTCTATAGTTGCAAAAAGCAATTTCTACTCCTGTAGGAAACTATTTATGTTCATTTTGAGACATCAGGAGGGACAACTGAAGGAACCTTGTTATACTTTGGCAGAGAGACCCTACATGGTGGTCCTTCCCCACACTGCACCTTGGTGACGGCTGCCCCAAACTGTAGTGTGTCCCCCAGCACGTAGATGTGGACCTCGGGGTGTGCCAGTCTGCAACACGGGGTCCGGGACAACTCTTTACACTCGAACACCAATGAGTTTGGGGCAGACCAAAGAGCATCTTTCAACGAGTTGATGGCCCTCCAGGTGTGCAGTCGATGTTTGTCTCGGTGTGCGTCCTGGGAAACAGACCGTACGGCACAGAGTCCCGCGTCACAGAGCCGCTCAGGACGAACCTCGACAAAAACCGTTACATCTTTCTCCAGACTTCCTTGTCCAGCAGGAGACGTGTGTGACAGTTAAAACACACCCCCCACCCCCCTCGTCAAGCCCACAGCCTCTTCGAGGGCAGCGTGCGGTGGCACAGAGTGACCGGGCGTGCCTAAAGGATCTGATGGGTCTCACCACCAGCCAAGCGATGTTACTGTGCTCGTTGGAAACTTCTGGCGAGGAGACATTCTGCCAAATGACTTTGACAGTCTGCTCAGGGAACCACGCGACAGGATCCACCCTCTCCTTTTCCTGCAGCGTCTCGAGGACACCATGTCAGTGGGGAGGCAATGGCCTGGCGATATTATCGCTGGCCTGTTAATCCAGAGACCCAGATAATATTCTGGGGACCCGGGTTCGGTGGAATTTGAATTCAATAAAAATATCTGGAATTAAGAATCCAACGATGGCCGTGAATCTATTGTCGATTGTTGGGAAAACCCACTAATGCCCTGTAGGGAAGGAAACTGCCATCCTTACCTGGTCTGGCCTACACGTGACTCCAGACCCACAACAATGTGGTTGACTCTAAAACTGCCCTCTGGGCAATTAGGGATGGGCAATAAATGCTGCCTAGCCTTCACCCCGTGAATGAATAAAGGAAAAAAAAATGTGCTGATCTGATGGACTGGTGGTCAAATGTGGTTTTCTTTGCAAATTTCTCAATGAAGGACAGGAGATATGGAATGGTCCAACTACTTGGAGCATTCTGTGGCAGTGAGGCCAGTCCCATCCTTCCCAACACTGGGGACAGGTAGAACCTCAGTACATAGTGACAGTCCCCCATTCCAGAGCTTTGTGCATGGTGTCCCTGCTGACACGGTCTATCTTAGACCCCCACTTGGGAGACTGCAACAGTGCAGGTTCGGGGAAAAGGCCAGACTTGTGCCATATATAATGACAGGGAGAGAGCCTGACACCTGATGACCAGGTTTTTACCTGCAATGGAGAGCCAGTGGTGCTCCCATCCACTCAATTTCTGTTCCACTTTGGTGACACACTCCTCCCAAGCTTTTGCACACGCCCTCACCCCTCCGAACCATATTCCCAGCACCTTCAGGTCATCTGTCCTGACGGTGAAGGCCATGAAGGATCGGACGGCCCAGTTCCCAAAGAACACGACCTCGCTCTTACCTCGGACCCCGAGGCCGGTTTGAACTGGTCACATGCTCATAAACCTGCGCACTGACAGTGGGTCGGAGCAGAAAAATGGTGACATCTCACATGGGGAGGATGTACAGGATTTATCTGATCTACATGTGGATTAAGTTCATCTACAAGTATCACTGTTCCTTTCTCACAATGCCTGAGATTTTCCTTCCTGCAAACCTACCATCTAGTTACTGTCAGCAAGGCTTATAAACCATTCCCTCATCTCTCTCCTTTGTACTGTCTGCTGTCCTTAACTATCACAGCTTCTCCACACCCCTACTAACTTTTCTAAGCTTTCTATCATAGAATCCCTACTGTGTTGAAGCAGGCTATTCGGCCCATCAAGCATCCCAACCAGACTCACCACCCTACCACATTTCCCATGGCTAACTCACCTGGCCTACATACACTACGGGACAACTTAGGACGGCCAACACACCCTAACCTGCACATCTTTGGACTGTGGGAGGAAACCAGAGCACCTGGAGGAAACCCATGCAGACACAGGGAGAATGTGCAAACTCCACACAGAGAGTTGCCTGAGGGTGGATCGAACCCGGGTCCCTGGCGCTGTGAGGCAGCAGTGCTAACCACTGTGCTGCCCCATCCTTCCCAAATATCACATAATCTTAAATATTGCCTGAATAAACTTGAACCCTATTAGTTTGTGACTCAGTAGGTGGGAAGATGGAGTCTGGGGGAAACCCACAACAATATGGGAATCTCCATTTGCACTACACACCACACAGGAACTAGCCCCTTCCTGGTGTGCATCATCGAGAGAGCTGATCTCTAAATCAACGATGTAAAAAGATTCTGTGTGTCTCGCAAACAGACAACCTTCAACACACCACCCCCGTTCCCTTTCCAGCATCTCTGTCTCAGGCTTGCTACGGTGCAGCTCAGTGCAAGCTGGAAGAACAACACCTCATTTTCTGCTTTGGGACCCTCAGGACTCAATATTGTGTTCAAGCTCTCCCATGTCCCATATCACATCGTCTGCTATTACACACAACCCATTGTTAGCTGCTAACAGTCCCCATAGAGGGTTATTCACCCTCCTAACCAGATTGTTATCCACTCCTTTGTCTGTCTGTTCTTCTCTCTCTTTTGGGCTCTATCCCCACGTATCGTTTACTCCTGACCTGCTCTCCCCATGCGCCCCACCACCCCCCATCCTCTGCATATAAATTGACACTTTCCCAGGTTCTAATTTACTGTGCTGGAAAAACATGCACTCAAGAACATTTTTTTTTCAAAATGATTAAGATTTATTAAATTTAGTTACATAAACAGGCACACGGTTCCTTTATATTTATTTCAACTCTGTAGCTTAGTTAGAGCGAGGCATTCGGTTAAGTCCACTTAAAAACTTCACGATGTAGGCGAGTGTGAGAATTGGTAAACAGCGTGTGAATTCCTTCACCAATCACTCGTTTTGAACCATTTCATTCAGCGTTGATCACCCTCCGCCCCCACAAACACACGCCAAACCATCACACAGGAAGATTCAGTCCTTGAATTGAATCTGTTGCCCTCCCTTGAGGGCATGAGGCATCCCATCACACGAGCAACTGCCTCTCTCACCCAGGTTGGACTGTTGCGTTCAGACAGATCTCTGGCAGGCTCAGGGTGGAAAGAACCTGCCAACTGAGAGCGACTGCAATGTTGTGTCTTTAGTTAAGAACTAACCTACAAAAGAAAGCTAGCACCATTGATATTCCTGCCAGCCCTCGGCACCAATCAAACGCCGCAAAATCAGGGTAATGGAGGATGTGGTGTGAGGGGTACCGGGACTGCAGGCAGAAGTTCCGATGCCCCAGCAGTGAGCCTGCATTCAACACAATCTCTCTACCATTAGCAGCTCCCTCACAGTAAAAAAACCACAGGTTTAAAAGGCAACAACATTGTGCGTTGGAAAACCGTATCCCACACTCGGAGTTACCGAGCACAGTCCCCCCGTATCCCACACGTGGAGTTACCGAGCACAGTCCCCCATATCCCACACTCGGAGTTACCGAGCAC